ATTTCCTCATCCCAACAAGCAAGCTGGGAAGAATGGAGTTTCTCATGTACTAGATAGATCAGGCAACCACAAAAGAAAATGATAGCCCATGCGTACCTCTATTTTAACTTGAAATTGACCACCTTTTCAATGCTTCTCCCATGACAATAAATGCATCCTTTCCTAATTAATTTGTATGAGAAATATAAATATTAATTTTAATTTAATTAGTTTATTATTTAAAATTATTTATATTGCAATAATATTAAAATAAAAATTAATTTTCATATTTCTATATAAATTAATTGTAAAATAATGTATTTTTATTATATCATTAATCTATACTCTTTAGATAGATCTTTTTTTTTATGGATTTTTCTAACTTATGTTCTAAAAGTGTATTTTAATGTAATTGTATTGTAAAATTAGTACACTTTTAAAACATAAGTTAGTAAAATCCATAAAAAAAAGATTTATTTAAAGAGTACAGACTAATGGCATAATAAAAATATATTTTTCTAATAAATTTGTATTAACAAAACAAAAATGATATTCAAATTATTAACCATTCAATTAAATATAACTTCACGAAAATGATACTAAAATTAATATAAACTTTTATATTTTTTATATAAATTTATAATGAAATGATAGTATTAACATGTGCCCTTATTATCATAATGATACAAACTGAGGGTACATGCAGTTTAAACAAATGATTAAAATATTAATTTAATCCCTTAACTTTTAAATTTGTACCCAATTCATCCTTATAAAAATATGAATATGAAATAATATAAATATTTTTAACTATATGATAAAATGATGTAAAAATTTCAAATTTTAATATTGAAAGACATCCTATATAGCAGCTAAAAATGACTTAAAAATTTTTGAAAACTATTTTTAAAAAGATGTTTTTGACCAAGCATACACCTTTAAATTTTGTAATAAGGAAAACGAAGAGTGTTTTTAAAATCCATCCGCAAGAGAAAGGCATATAAATGTATGTAAAATTATATATTTAAATACGTAATAAAATAATTTTCTAGATATTTTTACACTTTTTTCTTACAAATTCAACCTAAAAATGCACAATCCCAATGGAGAATCAAGAAAAATGTTTATTTGTCGAACTTTTAAAAAATTATGAAAAAAATACCCTAAAACTAATTTATTATAGACTTTCATTAAAAAATATTAAAATAATATATTTTTAAGTATAAATAATACTATTTTAATCTTTTATATAATATTTTATTAAAATAATGTAATTTTAAATTTTTTTAAT